ATGTCACAAACCAGGCATATTCTCCTCGTGCGAACAGGTCAATGAAACGATCTCAAAAAACATAGAAACACACGCGCTTCTTTTAAGCAGATGTTTTGAAAGAAGAGGAAGAAAAAATTAGCAGCAATCCAAAACCGTTTGCCCTCGGGTCTTTCTGCTACATTCATTAATATATCACCATGAGTACTGGAAACTCATCGAAAAAGTTTAAATAAGAGGGTGTTCCTTCGAAGAACTGCTGATGTGTTGAAACTAAGCAAATGCAATAACATGGCAGTCTGTGATGATTTAGCTAACGATAATCCTCCATGAATCGAAACATCAAAGATGGTATTGTGTAACCAAATGACCAGGATGCTACGGAGAGGTCTGCTAGTCAACGAACAGATACGCTATACGACATGAAACTCAACCAAGGAACAAGCAGCTGGAGCAAACAGAGCAAGAAACATTTCTGCGCCCTGGAATCCTAGCTAAATACATATCAGGGAAAGCAAAACCGCTTCTAAAATAATCATAACATGGAAACACTACGTTTTCTTTAATAAATGCCAAAAAAGGCAAAATTTCTTTGTTTGAGAATTACGAACTCTCTATAACTAACAGCTCGAAACCGAATAAAAAACTGTCATGCAAACCACCAATAACGAATGTGTAAGCATGTTAATGTGGTTAGCCAATACCAACCACGCAAAGATTGATCGAGAACATTACTGATAAATGAATTTTATCATCTGAATCAACGTTAGCACAGTTTTTTTGCTCCGTCGGTAGAGCACCGAACTCAGAACCGAGAATTCCCGGGTTCAAATTTATTTATATTTCTTCATTCTTCTGCTGATAAACGACTGCTGTTCGGTGAGACAGGAAAAGAGTGTGTACTGTTAAAAAAATGATGCGTAGGTTTGCATAAAATGTAAAGCAAAAAGTTAGATATTCCAATAAGGAACTACGATGCAATCACAAATATTTTGTGACTTGGTTGACTAACCACTACGGACCTTTTATGTTGCGTCTCAAAGGTATTTTGGTCGTAAATTTAATCGAGTCCAATTCTTTTAAAATAACGACTACGAAAAACTATACATATGTCGAGCCCTAAACAGAGTAATCACTGTTCGTTGCGAAAAAACCAAACAGATTTGCCCTCGAGTAATAAAAGAGTTTCCGTCTTTCTGAAGCACGCCCGAACCGCCTCCGACTCAGTTGATTGCTATCGAGTGTCACTAGATCTGTTGAATTATCGTCAATTGATTGGTTACTTTTTCGCTCCGTGGTCTTTCTTCTGTCCTGCTGTGTACTTTCGATTTTGGATGCCCCTCTCTGGCATCTCAGCTAATAATATTCTTTTTCGTCTTGCTAGTCAACTTCTTTTTCATTTTCTATGGCGACTTTCCCTTTTGAACCTCGGAAGCAAACGAGTCAGACAGTGCTTCCAACGTTCCCGATCCTGTACCAATGTCTTAGCTTCGGCAAGAAACAACTGGCGTCTGGAACAGACTCCTTCCATATATTTGCACCAGTTTAATCTTGGCCGTCCCTTGGGCTTTCTGCCGGTCGGATTCGCAAGAAACAGCTGCTTAGCTTCTGGAGGCATTCGCAATACATGCCCAACCCATTTCTTGTCATATTTTGCATAAATTTCTTTATTTCAGCTTACCCGTTCCCACTTTGTTTGTCGTTAGTTTTTCTTCACTGTTTTAAAACCTGACTGCAGAACTCTCGAAGTTCAGCTTTCGGGAGATTGCTTTTGTGCCCTTTGTTGCAGGGGCGTAACAAAGAAACCTGCTACGTATTTCAAGAACATTGCCACCCTTAATTTTCTAGGTAGTGCAGCACATAGACAGGATACCGTCGTTATGCATGATTGGTTGCTTTCTACCCAGATTTCGGATGCTAGTTATTTCACAATTCCATTCATTATTTCTCCAAACGTTCACTTTCCTCTCTATTGAATAAATTAAATCTATTCTTTCTTTCAATGAAGCAATCTGCATACGTTCCAAAATGAAAATTTCAAAAGTCCTAAATTTGCAACGATATGATTCAGTCAGTCTCGTCCGATTTCATTTATTAAGCGGCATGGAGGAGGTGTTATTGCCTTTGTGCGGCAGAAATTATGTAGGAAGCCGGCACTGAAATTTGCTTTCAATTCTTAGAAGGCCTCTTTATTTTTTGCCGGAGAAGATTCTTAGCACGTCATAAGAAATTATTTTTTGGCATTCTCTACATCGCTTTCAACTGTGATGTGGAGTCCTTGGAAAGATTCACCCAGTCCTTTTCTCCGTTTTGACCGTCAGCCGTTAAAGAAAGTTTGGTAATTTTAGCTAGGCGATTTCAATCGTCATTGACACTCTGATCTCGATTCAAATGGTTCCACATTCCTGGTGAAATTCAATCCAAGAGTCAGTGGCACTCACGGTCCAGTTTTGAGCGATTATCTTATTATTATATCTTCCGCCAAACTGCATGATTTTGTCTTTCTGATCACTTCGTAATCCACATTATCTGTGTGATCTCTTCGAAGTTAGGGTCAGGAGTAATACAACAGCATATTTCACGTCCAGAACTATTTTCCTGTCGTTAAGGTATAAGAATTACATCGACTCTTGTCTTGTTTCAAACGCCTATCTCTCATTTCTCTCGATCAAAGTCATCATGATTTAAAAAATTCATGAAGATCACTACTGTAATAAATTGCAGCTTCAATATTTTTTGTCCTATGCAGAAAATTCTCATCCCCGCGCGTCACCTTACATCGATATCGCTACAGCGTTCCAGTCGCCAGAAGAAATGAACTGATAGGAACCGCGGCCCCCAGTTCAATTGCTTGCATTATTGCAGCATCAAGAAAGAGATTTGTCTGTCAACTCTCCATGTCTTCCCTGCTTGACTGACTAAAAGCCGTAAAGCTCATAGAGAAATTTCTGAACCTTCTGCTCCGTAATGAACTCAACCTCGCTATTTCAGTCCGATCCTGATGAATCCAATGAGGATTTTCTTCACTTCTAAAGTGAAGCGTTATGGGATCGAAAGGTCCCATAACGGTATCCTCGGCACTTGTTAAATTAGTGGAACATCTAATTTTGCCAATTATAGAATCGCCTATGACGGAAACCGATTACCCAGTTATCTATCTGATAGATAACACCAGAACTTGACAAAAGCAGATGAATTGTGAGGTCGCTATTTCTTGTTATTAGTCCTGCTTTGAACGTTGTTCTGCTTATTTCAGATGCTAATCACGCTAAACACTGATGCCTCAATCTTTCGACTGTTTGCATGCCATTTTTCTCGTCGTCACCAACCAATTCATCAACATTGGCAAGAAGAACTCCTGTTCTTTGCAAGGCAATCTTGGCGTAGTTCAGGGTTCCGTTATCTTCCTTGTGCTGTTCAACAACTTCACCAATGAGTTTATCGTTACCTTCCGTCTCAAATTCTTTGAATACGTTGACTACAGTGATATGTCTGAATTAACGAAATCTCTGGATGAATAAAAACGTTACGTGTGAGGAATTGAGATCATATTCCAAAACTTCGCCACCAACGGTCTCCCATTGAACGCGTCTAACACAGGCAATTTGGCTTGCATAAAGAGAAGTACGAAGAATTCAACTATTCTGTATCCATCATCGCATCCTTTGCTGATCTATAGCTGTCTAGTCATCTCATATCAAAAATTTGTGTCATTTTGCCATCTGATCTCACCTGGGACGCACAGTTTCTTGTAACTGTGTGTTGTAAAGTTTCGTCACATATTAAGCATCTGAGAATTGTCCATGTACCACATGATGCTATCAGAAAATTTGTCTTTGCTTGTATTCTCCCACTATATGCATGTGCATCAGCACTCACCAGGCTTGCTGACATGCGACTTCGTGATGCTAAGCTGATAAAACCTGTAGAATAAAAGAACTTTCCGACAAATCAGTTAACTGAGGCATAAAGTTGATTTAACGGTCTTTCGTGGTTCTCGAATGGATCAGAAAAATCAGAATGGCAATCTGCGATGATGGTCTTTTGCGAGGTCATCCGCATCCACTAGATCCAAACATACTTGTTTCGGCCAACATAGAACTGTTAACGGGGATCCATTATCCAAGCTTGAGCGCCCACTCTACTAAGTGCCATAAACGTGAAAAAATTACACTTCAGTTTGTTTTGTGACATGATCTTCTTCATCGTTTCTTTCTATGTAGCTTCATAGTTCCAGATTCTATTTTGTTAGCTCCATGTGCAGCTCCTTTCTGAGCTTTTTCTTTTGATATGCACATAATTCTCATGTATATTGTTTATTTTGCTGAAAAATTGAATTCTTTGGCGATTCCATTCAAGCAGCAAACAATTCATTTATTGATGACTGTCGATATCAGGCGGAAGACTATCGCTTCCCAAATTTCAGCCAGGTATTTAGCAACGCGCCTCAAGATATCCGGCGGTATTTCCAAGGACATTGAGTATACCGATAACATCGTTACTGAGAGACTTTTCAAAATGATACGATACACCGATGAAACGGTGAGCAGCTGTCAGGCTGCTTGTCCAGCAAACGAAAAGGAATTTACCACTTTCGCAGAAATAAGCTGAACATTCCAAAGAATTCGTAATTCCAGTTATCACGGCTATGAGGGGTAAGTTTCGTGTTGCATGTTGGAATGTTAGCTCATTGCGTCCAGAATGCTTCCGAATGAAGTCAGCGGTACGAATAGACGTAAAAAATCTGATGTACCGGTGGTCACGGAAGATCGCCTACTGGAAAAGGGGACGCTTGACCTGCATAAATGGATATTATCATGGTGATCAGACCACAGCAGATTACGGCGTACCGGTAACGATATCCACTTTTCCCATCTGGGTAAAACGGGCGGTTATTTCGTTGGAACAGGTATCATAGGGAATCCTGGTCTATAACGCGCAAGTCAAGTAAGCGACGCTGCCTATCGTTGCGCTTGTCGAAAAAATGAGTCGACAACGACAGCTTCGTAGAAACAGCTTGCAGTCCGCTTTTGGCGCGTAGTCCCGTAGCGGCGTTAGAATTGTCGCAGGTGCTCGCCGACTCAGACCACAGCCTGTCTTCGATCTTCATGATATTGACAATGTGAACGACTTCGGTAAGCATCTGTTAAACTTTAATGCTACAAACAACTTAATTGTCAACAGGAGCCTGTTTACTCAGAAGCCATCCACCAAACAGCCTTCGACGCGTCTTTTATGGAAGCCAAAACACAGAACTGGAATCAAATGGTCATGAAAAGGAAATGCCGGAGCTCATGACTCGCAACTCGAGAATCACGTCAGGCGTGACGCCGACATCAAGTTTCGGACAATATGGTCGCAGTGAAACCGTCAAAAGTTAGCCGTCTGCTTGAAATACATCGGTTGTTCCGGTGCCATTATAAAATAAATGACGTATTGCTCGGCATCGTTAATCAGTGAGTCAGTTTCGATCACCGCTTCCCTTTTGGATCGCGCTAGTTTCCGTCGTGTTGGAAATTATTTACGTCAACAGTTAGTCTGATCGAACTGCTTGTTGCAGCAGGCTTAACTTTTATCAATTACGCTGTTTCTAAGTTGCTCATTTTGTCATGTTAGACATGACATCATTTGATACTATATGCATTACGATTACAAAATTATGAACATTCTTCGCAGACAAGCCTAGAAAAGTATCCACAGAAGTTGCTTTTGTCATTTCAAGACATGCCATGCAGAGTTCGCGTTTGCTGCTCTCAGCGTCAGTCTAGCACTATCCATTATGTTAAATAGAACATCAACAGAGTACACGTTTTAAGACCTTGGAGACGAAAAACTCTGCACCAACAAAAAGAATCATAGTAACATCTTTTACGAATAACAGTTTCAAATAAACGTTGACTGCCGTAACTTAATTACAAATACCCACTGTCATCAAAATCAGTAGAAGAGTGCAGCTTTTAGCCAGATCATAAGTAATGCAGAAAGCTTAAACGGAATACAATCACAAGTGAGCTGCCATTCGAAAGTTTCCAACTGATGGATGCCGATCTCCTATGCACTTTTACGACTGCCAACCACGTATTCTCTTTTCATGGAGCCTGTGGCACCAATTTCAGTCTCTTATTCATCAGTCATCCATATCTTGATGCTTTTTTCTTACCAAATACGTAAGCCAGGCTATCAGTATATCCAGTAGTCTCTTGTTTGCATCCCTCGAAGTGATGTTCATTCGACTACATCAGGAGGAAGAAGTCCATTAAGAGATTCGAATCCATGGTTCGAGATATGAGGCGAATGCTCAATCGAGCAAGCAAACCTTGATGACTCACCATAAATTCAACAATTAACTAAACGGAAACAACGATAATATTGCGACTCAACCACTATCTTGTCATTTCCCTTTTATCTTATCAATTGAAAAACCGTCTTCTAAAGGTCAGAGGTTAATCCCGACCGAGACCTTGGCTAATCAATCGGAAGATCGTCGGTCAGAATCAAGAAATAATAGATTTAAGTTCCGGACACCAGGATCAATTGCATTTCTTCCTTTCCAGGTTGATGAGTAAAACTTTAGGAAAGAACCTGGGACTACATACAACGCTTACCATACGGCTGCTGTCATAGAGATCAGTAACAAACTTTATGAAAATAAGAGCACGAGAAACACCTCAACCATGAAAGCGTAAAGAATGTTTGCGTTGCGCTGAGCATGGTAAATTTAGCTTAGTGCAAACATAAGCTGATACAATAAAAAGTACATGCATAATGCTGAAATGTGCATTCTTTTTTGTGACAAAGAAAGGACTCTAATCAGG